TTTCTCGTTAATAGCAACAATACAATACCCATATTTCAATTCTAATATAGACAAACAACTTATTATAGTTGGTACTATACTCGAAATAATGATTTTTTATTAATTTAAATAGAATGACAAACAAACATTACATTTCCTATATTTTTTTTTTTTGCTTTCAAAAATGCCACAACAGATGCATTTTTTTATTTCCTTAAGATACTTCTTCAGATTCTTCAGAATAAAATTCTATGTCTATTTGGCCATTCGTACGTCTGTTAAAATGACGATGAAGCTCGCAATATTTAAAGTATAGGTGATGGTATTGAAAATAGTACATATCGGTCCACGATTTTTGTATTGAATTGATTGTAATTTAGTATTTTGGAATTCCATTTAGTATACACTAGCTGACCCCGTAAACGTTGTTTTGCCTTATCAATATTGCATCAATATAAGGTTGGTAAAAAACATTTGCCACTACTTATATGTCAATAAAAAGTATTAACTGGCACCCAAATACAGACCCAAGCACATAACATTTTATAATTGGCGGAACTTATTTCACCAAATGCTTTTTTTAATTGGTGGAACTTATTTCACCAAATGCTTTGTTTTAATAGAATATCATGTTTTGTAATTGTTCCAACGTTATATCACAATATACCATGCAAACATTATTCACATTTTTAAAAATACATTTGAGGAACCATAAAGGCGCATATAAGTTAGACACAAACTGTATGTAATGCGGAATTGCCTCCATGTAGGATTCGAATTTAAATGTATTCTTCCCGAATATAAGAAAATGTTCAATAATACCTTCGTATTTTGTTGACGTATTTGTAATCGTATATAGCGAATTACTAACATCATTGAACTGTATTGAATACTTTGAAAGACGTTTTCGTTTTTACTAAAACATAAAAACATATGTCTATGTATGGACAATTTTCTCAAAAATATTGTTAGTGTGGTTTCCTGTTAAAGACACGATAATGTTTCGGTCAGTGGCCCAGATTCCATTATTGTGCGCTTTTAAGCATCCTTATCCTAAAGTACTTGGAAATATCAAAATATCCATTAAATTGCCTTTATTTCGGTATTCCCCATAGTAAGAAAGGTAAACAACTTCCCTCATGATTGCCGGTATAGTTTTTGGTATAGGCTCCACATAATGGAACCGCTTGATCTTTACTTTACCATGTCTTACTGTGTTTTATTTGAGAAAAATTTCACAACCCATACATACCATGCAAATTGCTTTACATAACATAACTTTTATTTTCAAACTAAATAGATCTTGATTTTATGGAAAACGTGAGCAAATAATTATAGCGATTAATCTTATTCTCTCTTATCGATTTCTAATTATTAAATATTTATATATTTTGCAACATTTTCGAGGATTTTTCTCTTAATGTCCTTTCATTAAAACCTTTCCACTTCAATTACAGACTACTAACAGAAACTTCAAGTCAAGTCGGTCCAGCCGTTTCTTTAAAATAATTTTTGCAAATTTTTCGCGGATTTTTCTCAAAATCTTCTTTTATAAAAACCTTCCCACTCTAATTACCCACAACTGAAAGAAATTTTGAGTCAAATCGGCCTCCGTATAACGTCATTTCTACTTCGGTATTTCGGGCACGTTCTTCAAAAAAAGTACCTGTAATTTTGTAATTTGGGCTTAAATCTAGAATTAAATCAGAATTTTCTGAACATTTTCCAGAGATAGGTATTTTTACCCTAATTATGGGGATATTTTTTTTCTTGTATTAACTCTGTCTGGTTACTTTTCCAGTAACGTTTACACAGTAAGTTCTATTTCAGAGAGTAGGCCGTTTTTATTCTCTTTTGCAATAATACTGAGAAAAATGTTCGTTTGTTTACTAAATATTTTGTACAAATTATTACGAAATGCTGTTCGTTTACTTAAAAGTCCAGTAAAAGAGAGTAAATTGAGAGAGCAGATTTGACAGTTGTGTTACTGAGTTTTTACAAATTCTTACAAGGAAAAAAATTTACTCAGTAAGAATTTTCTTGTACCATCAGCTGACATTTAATCAGCTGTTTTGTTATGTTTTGTAAACACACAACAAAATTGTTCTTAAGAAAATTGATTGTTTTGTAAATTTTATATTGATTTTGTATCATTAAACATTAAAATGGATATCAATTTTCTAATAGAAATGATGCTTTTTTGTTTGGGCCAAATTGTTTGTTGTTTTAATCAGCTGTGCCGATACAATCTTTTTACTGAATGTTGTTCATTTACTTTTTGCAATTTTTTCTCGTATTTTACTCCAGTGTTGCTCAGCCCTTTACGTTTTCGTGACAAGAAATCACACGTATTCTCTCTAAATTTAGATTTGTCGTTTGTTTAGCATAGGCGGGACAGTAACATACAAATGCAAATATTATGAGCATCACTGTTTTACTCTCTGCAATTTCTTACGGAGTAAATGTTAATGGGTAATTAAAGCTTAATAATTTCTACAAATTATTACAAAATGTTGTTCGTTTACCCAATATTTTATTAAAAAAAGAACGTGGTTTGATAGAGCAGATTTGACAGTTGTGCTACAGAGTATTTGCAAATTCTTACAAGAAAAAAATATTCAATAAGAATTTGCTTCTATCATCAGCTGATATTTAATCAGTTATATTTCGTAAACAACAAAATTGTTCTCAAGCAAATTGATTGTTTTGTGAATTTTATGTTATCATTAAAGATTGAAATGGATGATAAAACAAACAAACATCAAATTTCCACTTGTTTTCCATTTTTTCTAATAAAAATGCTGCTTTTTTGTTTGCGACAAATTGTTTATTGTTTTAATCAGCTGTGTCGATACAATCCTATTACTGGATGTTGTTCGTTTACTTTTTTTAAATTTTCTCTCTTGAGAACGAAAAATTTGTGCTTACTCTCTGCAAATTCTTACTGAGTAAATATTACTGGGAAAGTAAACGAACGAACCCTAGTATTTTGCACGTACATTTTGTTACAAAAAATATTTTTTGGTTTGTTCTTCAAACTATAAATTTTGACAGTCAATGAAGGCTTCAGTTGGCATTGCCGGTTAACGTTATGAATAAACCTTGATCTTACTGAGTAAATGTTACTGGAATTTACTTTTCCACAATATAAACGGATCAGTACAAATAAATTGATCTTTCCGATGGCCTTCTCAAAAATGTCGATTGTAAACGTCAGGTTATGGACTTTGGCTTTTATTGATTATTTTTTAGAAGAAAATTAATGCAATATTAAAATTTCAGTTTGATAATGTTTTATGGACACGAATATGGACTAATTTCATTCCTGTCCCTAAAGATCGTAAATAATTAGCTATTTCGCAAATTTTGTTACACAATTTCTATGAATCACTCAAAATAAATAATAACTACTTAATAATTATTTGTAATATTTATAATACATTAAAATTTGCATATTCCACCCATAAACACTTATACATAAACATACATATATGTATGTATGTAGATTTAATGTTAAAATACAAACCAACCAACAAATAGGTATGCTGATGCGTTTTAAGCATTTTACGGTAACAAATATTGAAAATAAAATATATAAGAGATGCAAAAACACACAACCGTTGAGGCGGGTGTTAAACGGAAACTACATTACAGGACAATCATCATGGAACCCATTACACCAAACATGAATACACTCTAGAAGAACACAGACCTCATTTTGTGTAAAAGAAACAAAACTGTTGTTTGAATGTATGTGTATGTGTTGTATTAATGAAAATAACTAAACTATTCAATTTAGATGTAAATGGTAAATTTAAAATTGAATAAAATGAACAAACAATGAAAACAATCCCAAAAAAGTTAACCAAAATATCACCACAAAATACACCAACAAAAATAAAATTAAAAAAAAAATAAAAACTACAAGGAAAGTGAATGAAACTAAACCAAATTAACTCAACAAATTATCCCACTGATATATTAATGAAATTAAATTATATAAATGTCCTTATAATTAAAACAAATTTGATTAGAAGTATAGAATCGAAACCGAAAAGTTTAAAAGTTGGTTAAGCACTAAATGCCACAAAACAATGTTTGTTGTCATAATAAAATTAAGTTGTGCATTGCAGAGAAATCTCAAAATTAATATTAGGCGATAACATGTGTTTTAGATGAAATTCCAACAAACAAAGGTATGGCGGGAATATTCAAAGGTTTATCCATTTAAATGTATATTTTAAAAAGCCTCTTATCCTTTAGAAAATAATAATAAAAACCAATTATTTGCAAACATTTGAAATTTGTGTATTATTTACATATAAAATTGACTGGGTCGGCCGGATGGGTTTAAGAGGGAGTTTTCATCGTACGGAAATCATTTTATATTTAATATAAGTACAAGGGAAATACCATAATTAAATTATGATTCATCATTAAACGCGTTCTACAAAAATACAAAATAGGTTATATTGAGTTGAACCGTTACACTTTTTGGACTCCTCTGTGGTGGAAACGATTATTAAAAAGTAGAAATACCGGTTCATTACAATTTTTTCTCATAATGGCCCTGTTCTTTCAAATTAAATTATAAAAAAATTGTTTGTTCTGAGATAAACGTCCATAGGGTAGAGCCGTAATTTGTCACCACAGTTCTTACATCCTGATAACCATTATTTTGTTTACTTAATTTGAACAGTTCTTTGTTAATTATTAATAAAATGTCTTTATTGAATGATTGATTATTTTTGATATATTATTTTAATATCCACTCTGAAATAGAAAGAATAATTAATAGCAATAGCTGAAAGAAGAAAAAATAAATATAATTACAATAGATGACCTTATTAAGAAGCGCCACATTAATATAATGTTATTTCATTAAATAAAATGTATATTTTCAATTTCAATTGGTAAATATGTCTTCGGGAAGGGAAGAGAATACGCCCAAATTGCCACTTAAAAATGTATTTTCGAATGAAGTATTAAATAGGGTATTTTGAGAGGAAACGCTGTTGCTATTGTTGGTAATACTAGTGCTGGATACAATATTTGTTATATTGCGTTCATCCTTTGGAGTTTTTTTGTCTTCGTCATTGTCATCAGAAATGTCATAGGCTCTACCGTCTCCGTCATCGTCTGCGGGTTTGTCATTGGGTGGCTCTAAATTTGTTGACAACATGGCGCGACATCATTTATCCCATAAACCTAATTCGCGCATTTTAGTCTGGTAATAACGTTCCAAGTTATTGGCACAGCGGTAATATTCGGTTTCTGGTGAATTATAGAAACGACAATTGGAAAAAATTCGTGCCATATCGGCCATAAATAGTCGTCTTGTTACATAATAGCCCTTTTTTAAACGTTCTCCCATTGTCTTTAGATCCATGGGATATTTAATGTGATCATAATAGTCGGGAACCTCGGCAACAGTAACAGGTTTTAGGAATGGCCATGCGGATGCATGATGTCGCACTGATTGTAGGACAGCGGCAAAGGATGCAGCTAATTTCTCCGGATCCGACGACTCTTCAAGTGGCCTACCTGTCCTATGGGCACGCATTTGGGGTTTCCAACCGATTTCTCTTAATCCAGGTATAGATTCTACTGGTATTGATGGTAAACCTTCTTTGAAACACGTCAAACCAGGTCTAACTTTCTGGACATCATTATGACGTTGGGCAATCAGCTCTTTTAATATTTCACTTTGTCGTCGAATTACTGAAAAAACAAAAGTCGATCTAGTGAACTGAATACAATTTAATATAAATATGAATATTTACCCGATATAAACTGTGTGTTGACAATACTGGGATGTAACTCACAGTGCATTAATGTTGCTCCGTCATACTCCTTTATGTACCCCGCATACACGGGTCGGGCTAATTTTATATCTTTAGAAAATCCCTGCTTCTTGAAATATCCAATGGCATCACAATCAGCATAGGTCAGCAAATGTAATATACCCTTTTGAATGCTGTAATCCTTCAAATGATTCATCAAGTGGGTACCATATCCTTTTACTTGTTCTGACATAGTGACGGCACAAAAAACGATTTCCGTAAATCCCTGGGTCGGAAATGGTCTAAAACAGATACCTCCAATTGGCATATTTTCTTTAATTAGAGCCAATGTTTTATGTTTGGTATCGAATACCAATTGTGATATGTATTCTCGGGGCATTTCAGGCAATTGATGGGCAAAAACACTTTGTAGGCCCAATAGCCAAAGTATTGTTTGTTTATCCACGGGTTTCGTTAGCGAATTACCCACAACATGAAATTCTATAGCGCGTTTTTGTTCCTCGGCTTTTACATTTTCATCGCGTGAAACATTAACGGGAAATAATATTTCAGTTTTGTTGATGGCTTTCGATTCGGAGACGGCTTTCATTGCCCGAATGACTACTTCATCGGGAAGATCTTCATAACAAACATCACTATAGAAATAGAAAAAATAAGCATTTTTAATTTCGATATCATGAAATTATTGTCATGAGTTCTTTTGAAGTATGCACTGAAAATCTATTGAACGAGAACATATTTAATTTAATGTATTCCTTAACAGATATATATATATATATATATATATATTAATGAAACCCATTTGGCGCCACCCCTTTTTAAAGAAAAGCCAAAAATTGCAATACCACTGTTGGTAAACAATAGTCTCAGTGAATTTCTATAAATGATATTATTTTTTGTTGCATCTTGTTCTACACCCTTTCTCCTTCCTTCATATAACACCAAATTTTATTCAAAAATAATTACTTTTTAAAAAATATTTAAGTCTTAAAATTAAATTTAAGATTTTGAAGAAAAAATTAACTAATTAAAACCACATTAACGATTTACAAATCATATAATAAATTTAAGATATAATTTTTGATTAAAGAATGTCTCTACAAAAAAGTTAACTCTTAGATATAGCCGATTTAAGCATCAAGTGACGGCTGAAGGTCTTTCAAACTTTAAACGCGTTTTTCTTAAACATTTTTTTGCGAATGGCGGGCACATACTAATAAGGTTCCAAATTTTGCAACGTTTCTCTGGGAGTGTATAGCTCTCGTATGAACTAGGATAAAGCCAATCGGTGAAATTATTTTTTAACTTGGTTTTTGTTCAAAAATCGGCGATTTTCCAAAAATATTTTTTCAAAGGTCCACCATTTTGTTAATTTTAGAGCGAAGTCAATAATCCTAGTTCACTCTTTCTAACACCGTTGGAATTTTTGATGTTCCAGTGAGGAGTTATCATGCCCGCCATCAAAAATAAGGACTTTTCTTTAATTACAAAAAACAACAACAAAACAATAACAAAAATTTTTTGTAAATTATTTTTCTTCTCTTTTAAATATTCAATTATATATGTGCAAAGTTACAAACCTTAACAAGCATTGGTATTTATTTACCAGCCCATTGAAAATCTTGAAAAATTAAAATCGAGAATGGGGGGGGGGGGGGGGGGGGGGGGGGGGGGGGGGGGGGGGGGGGGGGGGTCCCTTAAGGAATTGTCAGAAGCCAGTATAGGTAATTAAAAGGGAAGGTCATCTTCCAATATGTACAATATTTAGAATTTGGGTAACTTAAGTTTGTTCTTAGAAATTTAATAAAATTAAATGTACTTCCCCCGCTATATTTGCACACACACGCAATTAAATTTAGTATTAGGAGTCATTCCCATTGTTTCGAGAATCGCATTGCTGGAATGATGAAATTATTTCAAAGAAATAAATCACCATTACCAGCTATACTTTCATTTTTGAATTACACCAAATTATGAAAGATGTCTAAAAATATGCTGTACATTAAACGATCAATAATTATGTAGCATACTTTTAAGCGAAATTATATTTTATTAAGAAATATTTTCAATGCTGATTCAATACTGCACCATATTTCATAATGTTACTTAAGTCATTAAAATGCAAACATAGAAAATAACTACAATTTATTTGAAATAATTAAATAAAAAAACAGTCTGAGATTCGATTTCTTTTGAGACAATAACGATTTTAATATGTACTAATAACAGCAACAATAAACAAATGTAAACACCACTTACCCACTGGAACGTTCAGAAATTTCTTTTTTTACTCGTTTGTGGGCAGGTTCCCCAGTTCCGACTTTCTTCGTAGCACTACTACTCGATATTCCGGTCGTTGCAGTTGTCGAATCCTGTTGTCTTTTACGTTGTTGTAAAAGGAAAGCTGTTGGTGGCCTATACGACTGATCCCATATTGGAGAGTCATCTTTAAGAAGTTCTGCTTTTAGAGCTTCCAAAAATTTGGGCATCTGTGTTATGATTGATCTTTTGTCGGCGGGAAAACGATCTCGTTCCGAGATGCATTTCTTTTTAAGCTGTTGAGCCATATATTGAAATACTGTCCTCAGCAGAGTTCTACCAAATACCAGTGACGTCTCAAAATGACGTAGAGAATTACAAAAGGCGGGTACGTGACAGAAAACCAACCATCGTGTATAGTTGATCTTATAAGTCGAAGCGTCGTCATTCTTCAAATCAGCCCTCCGCATGGAAGGTGGTTCAAAATTGTAGTGATTAAGAAAATTCAAAAATGTCTTAGCCACTTCGGTCATAGTCTGCAATTCATTTGGACTCAAATGGTTGTATTTGTAGAAGACAAACGAGTAAACAGCTTTTGCAATGCAGGGCGATTCAAATGGTGGATCTCCCAAGGGACCTCGTATTACCGCCTGTTGCCGCGTAATTACACATTGCCGCAACAATCGGAATAGGTACAAATATACCTTCTTCGTATCCTCGTCATCTACCCGTTGCATAGACATAAATAAGTTTTCCATATCAATGATTGCTCCCAAAAAGTTGTTCATCTCAGCCGCCGAGATCCCATCTAGATGAGAAATATGGCTTTGTAAAGAATGGCGGCAACTTGTATTGCGACATTCTTCACTGAATTCCGGACAGTACGAGGATTCCACATCGCGATGGCGATTTTCTTGTGGTGTCTTCCATCCAGTACAACGACAACCTTCGGCCTGACAAGCTGAGTACATAGATAGTTTGGCTAGTTTTTGAGCCACGGGCAAGTTGAAAACTTTTTGTTTACGTTGTTGGATGCGTTGTAAACTATTTTGACGGCTCCCCTCGGCAGGCGCTGAACCTGCGCCACTGCTTGAATTGCCACTATTCTGTCTTTCGATTGTGTTAGAACTAGCATTTTGCTGCGGGTTTGTTTGGTGTTGAACAGCATTGTTGGAGCCCGATCCACTAGCCCCAGCATCTTCTTCCTTTAATGTAATGAGCGATCCACCGGACATAATTTGCTTGTCTGAACTCCTGGTACTTGAATGTTTCTAGTGAAATATTGTATGCGAATATTATGTCTCACCCAAAGAAATGCAATTTCACAATATTTCGAAGTACGTAAACAAAGCCTTAAAACAGAGTTGCCACCTTAGAATTTCGGCGACCTAAATGAAAAGCGTTCGCCTAGAGGAAAAGGAAAATCTCAATGAATATATAAAAACCAATGCAATTTTCTATTAAATTATTTGTGTTGTATTACAAAAATTGAATTTTTTTTATCACTTTTAGAATCCAAAAGTATAAATTTATTGATATAACTGATTTGGTTAGTTATATGTCAACAAAGCCAGCTGTTTATGTGTCGCTTATTGCACTACAAGGCCTGACATCTACATACGCCTTGATTTTCAAATGGAGAGAAATTATTCAACACTACGCTCGACTTAAATTGGCATCTTTTGTTTCTATTGCTGTGTGAGTTTCCTTAACAAAATATCTCCAAATATTAAAAATAAAAAAAAAAACTTATTCTCACAGGTTCTGGAGATTGTACGTTTATTTTCTTGAAGGCTGGTTGGTACATATATTGCGAGGTTTCACTGTTTCATATTGAATCATCTGTATTATAGCTGCACGCGGTATTTCCCCAGAATTTAAATGGATTTTGATGAAGTGCTAGAAAGTCATTTCATAAAGAAAGTATTTAATGAAAATAATATTGAACCAAAACCAAAAGAAAAAACTGCTGCCAGGAATTCCAAAAACAAAGTCCATAATTATATACCATGCACGATAAAGCATATCTTAACATTTGACGGACAATGTTGGAAAGAAAATGATTTTATAACTATACTAGGAGGAAGTCTTTGCTTTAGGAACTGTTTGGTATACGGTACAATTATTGCAAAAATCAGAGAAAAGGATAATAAATACACATACATGCTTGATGATGGCACTGAATATATAGAAATAACTATTTTCAGAAAAGATAAAAGCCTGAATCAGGTGACGAAATTACAAAGGAATGTCAACGACGTCATGAACTTCTCTGAGGATGTAATTTCTGAAAAACTGCGGAATATATTGGTGGCAACGAAAAACATGCTTTTTAATCACGATATAGCAGCCGGGACAAAAGTTCTGTTAATCGGCAGACCGTCGTATTATTGCAGCAAGATTTCAATAGAAACTTTTAATATATTGCAAGACAACCAGAAAGACCGTATACTGGAAATCGCATTCAAGGATGAACTACTTGATTGGCATACGAAATATACAATTGGAAAATGCCGCTAACATATACAGAGTAATGAAAATCCCCCCTTGAAATGATATTTACATTATGTATGTTTTTACAAATCGTTTTGTTTTTATTTTCCGTTTGTTCTAAAAATATAAAATGAACTTCAAAAAAACGAACCGGTCGCGTCTAATGTGTATCTCATATTAGTGTCCTTTCGATAATCTGGTTCGATTCTTTGCATTGTTTATTTAGTATATGGAGAGTACACGATATATAAATCCTTTCGTTCTATTTACGTAGTCTTTGCTCTGATAGCAGCACGCTTGCCAGTAACAGCCTGGAAACCAGATTTAATACTAGCCACCGAACAACGAGAACCGCATGATTCACACTGCAGGAAGAAAATACGTGTATCTTTTTGTAGAATTGTTTCAGGAGAGCGACATGTGTGGCAGGTGACATATTCTTTAATGTATCGACGTAGCACATTTTCAATCTGTTTAGGTTGGAAACGTCCCTTGATAATCAGCTGTTGATTACCGTCAAGGGAACCACTAGTACCCAATTCAGCCAAAAGGAAATCCAGCAAATGTTTTGGCAAACGATGCAACGTTCTGGCGATATCGAGGAAATTTGCGAATGAGGTTTTCTTTGTGCCCACGCGCAACACTTGTGGTGGTCTCATCACAAACTTGGGCTTACGGCCGGCAGCCATTTCAGGATTTTTATCCAATATTATGCTGAAAATGCGTTTCAAGAGTTCATCATATGTATAGTCAGCAGCTGGGGCATCAGTCTCTGCACCCTCTTCTGCATCCATAGATTCGCCAGTTTTTTCTTCGCCTGGCGTCTCCTCGCCCTCTACTTTGGGTAGAGCACCTTCCAATTCATCTAAATTAATAGCCTTCTTCTTCTTTTTCTTCTTCTTGCCGAAACTTTCCAAATCCAGATCGTCATCAATATCATTTGCAGCTGTGGCATCTTCATTAACTACTTCTTTTGTTTCCTCCTTCTTGGAACCATCGTCCAGACCTAACGCGGCGTCCAAATCGAAAGTCTTCTTCTTCTTCTTTTTCTTCATCAAAGTGGGATCAAACTGAAAATGCACACCAAAAAAAGTAAATAATTAGAAAAGGGGCACCACATTCTAACAAAGACATAACCTCAAAAAAAGCCATGTCAATTTGTATATCCACATTCCGCAAGAAAATCGAAAAAATTGATTGTCTACTTACATCTTCACCTTCCATGATTGTAGAATGTATTATTTTATCGTATTTAATGTTATTAATAAGGGTTTATTCCACTATTTCTTGTTTTATTGCATCAGAAAGAAATCGCACAAATTTAGTTACTGTGTTGTGTTGTGTGTGCGCGATGACTGATGACGACGACTGACATTTATGAAATTAGTTTGATGTAAATTGTACGTGAAGCAAACGTAACCGTGTCGTATCGGTTGCTTTTATAGGTAACAGCAAGTGTTGTTGTACAAAAAACGATACAACAACCACATGGAAATTTGTTGTTGTAAGTTCTACTAGTGTCAACTCATTTGACAGAAAAATGTAAACAAACAAACAAATTATCATCAAATTATTTTTATTTTGAAAATGAAATATTTTCGAATCCTCAAAATAAAAATTGAAAAACATGAATGAAAATCTATCAAATTTACATTTCTATCGCTTCCACATCTTTCCTTTAATTGAGCCATTGCCATATATATGTGTAACGCGTATGAAAATGCTGGGAATAGCGAGTTATTCCTTCAAGAAAGATTTGCTTCCTCAAACTTTCCCAGCAGGCAGATTGAGTAAATTGAATACGGAAGCACATTAAGTCCTGATTTATATTAGGCGAGTTTACTTGCGGCAATTATTATCGTTCCCTTTTGAACTTGCCCCATGCGTCTATACAAGGCAATTCGGTTTCGAAAATATTTCTTTTTTCATTTGATGTCAATAGTTTTTTCACATTTAAATAAATATAAAATGTCAACAAATACGAAATACACAAAACGAGTTGCCAGAAAATTGTCGGTACGAGCAATTTTTTCCATTTCTATTCCCCTTGCCCCTCTCTCCTACAGTCAAAGACTTGCCGCAAGTAAACTCGCCTAATATAAATTCGGACTAATAAAGAACAATTTCAAATTGTATGCGTTCCCAATTTTCCTGTTGGGTGATTTTTAAAAACATAATTTGTCAAATTCATATTGACACTAGTATTACGTTGGAATCAAATCAGCTGGGATTTGCTGTTACCTTTTATAATTGTACCATGTTATAGGACAATGCGATACACGATAAATTGAGAAAGCGTTTACATAGAATGAGTTTAAATAATGCATCATTTAATTTTATTTTTATATAACCGTTTATTTTGAGATGTATCAAATAATTTATTTGGCGTAGGAGAGAGGAACCTTTGAACATCACTCATAAATTCCTGGTTTAAAATTTTTCCGATCCGCAATCAATTTCTTATGTGGCAGTCTTGTTCTCTAGCAGTGTAAAGTTTTTTTTTTCTTTTGTGCCATGGTACAATTATACAAGGTAACTGTAAAACTACATAGCATATTGTATAAGATTTTGGCCGAAAATAAATAAATACAATTCAACAAAATCAACAACAAAATTGTTATTGTATGTAACACTAGTGTCATATACAGTGGTGGTCACGTAATTAAAACATTTTCTACGGCAAATATTTTTTTAATCAGCCATCGATTCGTTTGAAGTATTTTTATTTTTTTTAAATTCAGAACACTTAGATATACTGCACTTAAGAAATTTGGTATGAAAATAGAAAATTATAGCATGCAATTTTTCCTAAATAACGGTTTTTGTGAAAAAACATCGCCTTTGAAGTGGCCACATAAATAAAACATTGTGTGATTTTTTACTTTACTGCAGTTTTTTTGAAAATTATTTTTAAAAACTAATTAAATTTGTTAAATTAATTAAACTAATCACCGATTAAATCATTTACTGATAAAAAATTTTACAAAAATCTGTAAGATCTATCAAAATTGGCAACAATTTGTACAGTACACCTAACATTCGGAAAATCACACTTAATATAGAAAATAAAGTTCCGAATGAACCAGAAATTACTAGAATTAGTAGAAAACAATAAATACTTCTTAAAATAAATAAATATTTGAAATAAAAACTTAAAAAATTTGGAATAAACCTGAAGGAGCGATTCGATTTCGATAGCCTTTATTGAAGAAGGCCGCAATATGTTTGCAGTATGTGAGCAAATGTCGATTAATATTGGCATATATTATATCATATCGATTGCTCTAGTAGAACAGAATATATTTTATCAAAAAATAGACCAGTCCCAACAGAATAAGCAGAGATAAACGCCTACGTTGACCATTAAAAGTTTTTAAAACACATCAACATGTTTGATATTCAACTCTGGGCCCTTAAAATCTGTTGGGCGTGGCAATATTTTTCCAAAATAATATTTTTTGAAAAGTAAAGTGTCCATTTAATCTATTTTATCCTCAAAGAAAGAAAAAAATTACTGTTTGACCAATATTTAAAATCTTGGGTTGAGCATCAGAAATGCAGCTGTGTTTTGAAAAGTTTTCCTGGTCAACATAGACGTTTATCTCTGTCCATTCTGTTGTGACTGGTCTATTTTTTGATCAAATATATTATGTACTACTCAAACAGTCGATTTGCTATAATAAATGTCAATATTAATCGAAAATTCCTCACATACTGCAAACATATTCCGGCCTTCTTTAATAAAGTCTATTGAAATCGAATCGCTCCTTTAGGTTTATTCCAATTTTTTTAAATTTTTATTTCAAATATTTATTTTTTTAAGAAGTATTTATTGTTTTCTACTAATTCTAGCAATTTCTGTTTCATTCGGACCTTTATTTTCTATATTATGTGTGATTTTCCGAATGTTAGGTCTACTGTACAAATTGTTGCCAATATTGATAGATTTTACAGATTTTTTATCAGTAAATGATTTTATCGGCGATTAGTTTAATTAATTTAACAAATTTAATTAGTTTTTAAAAATAATTTTCAAAAAAAAACTGCAGTAAAGTAAAAAATCACACAATGTTTTATTTATGTGGCCACTTCAAAGGCGATGTTTTTTCACAAAAACCGTTATTTAGGAAAAATTGCATGCTATAATTTTCTATTTTCATACCAAATCTCTTAAGTGCAGTATATCTAAGTGTTCTGAATTTTAAAAATTTGGTATGAAATCGATGGCTGATCAAACAACGTTTGCCGTAGAAAATGTTTTAATTACGTGGCCACCACTGTATGTCGAAAATGTAAACAAAAATACAAAATATCAATAAATTTTATTTATTTTCAAAATGTATTTTTTTTTTGAATTTTCAGAATAAATTTGAAAAACATGAAAGAAAATCTTGCAAATTTATAATTTTATAGCTTCAGATAATTACTCCAATTAAGTCATTCCCATATGTAGAGGTAACTCATACAAAAACACTAAAAATAGCGTTAAAAATAGGATTTTTTCATTGCAAAGGGATTTGCTGCTTCACATTTTCCCATTAGGTAATTGAAGTAAATTGTGAACCAGAGGGAAACGAACTTCTGTTGCGATTTCTTTGATTTGATAATGTATAAATGTTAACGAATTCTCATGCCAATTCATGGTTGAAAAAACGCTTCAGAAAAAAACTAAACGCTGATACTATATTTTTCCATCGTCTGTAGATTTGGGAATATATCAAAAATAAATTTCAAATATTTCACAAAATTGTGTTGTATTTTCTCTGGTTCCCTATATATTGTAAAGCTCTAATAGTATTATTGTATTTGAAATAAAAAATACAATAATACTATTATTTGTACATATAATGTGTACAAAATTTTCCAGCTGAGTATTCCAGTTACCTTGCATACTTGTAACATGTTCTGTGCTTACATATGAAACTTGAACTCAATTTCGATTTATTTTCGTATACGAGAATCTAGCCCAAATGACCAAGAGCGACTCAAAAAAAATATATAGAAATTCGTACAAAACGGATTGCATTTTTGCAAATAGTTGCATTTGTTTTTATTTATTCTGGTGAGGTATATTTTCTCTTGTATAATTATCTTGACCTAACAGCCACGAGTTAGAGGTGTATTTTTTATTTCGTAAGAAAGTACCATTGGAACGTAGCATTATTACATTTACATTACCATAACGTATCGCAAATAAAAGCAATGACATCAGGAACGAATAAACCGAAGGAAAAAAACAATGACATTGATAGATTTTTTCGATCTGGCAACATTTTACACTTGTCGTGTAGCATTAATTTATTATTGTTTTCAGCGTGTTGTTGTATTTATTCGTCAGTGTATTTGGGCGTGCCTTTTAATATTTAATTATTTTTGTTCTGTTTGTTTTTTAAAAAAATGTTCTTATTTGTTTAATCGAAAATACGTGCAACATGTGTAATATATTATTATTTATTGCATTGCTTTTGGCAATTGGTCACATAAATGGTACGTTTTATAAGTGAAATTTCATGTTAGGGCGTTGGTGGACAGAACAAAATCCGACAGATTAGTCGACGCAAAAACTAGGCTAAACAACACTTTAATATTTATTGTGTTTTTTTATTTTTAGCCCAATATAACTTTGTTGAACAAAAAGTGGACCATGTCATTTGGTGTACCAAAAGCCAGGAAGAACAATACAAGTGTCAGAATTTAACTCAAGCAATTGAACGAGATCGTGCCCTGTTCGATGATGCTCTGTTGAATCTGACATGTTTTAAGGCATACAGTGCTGATGAATGTATACATCACATCGATCACGAAAATGCCCACATAACATCGCTAGATGCTGGAGATGTTTTTACCGCTGGTCGTTACAATTCCCTTATTCCACTTATGCAAGAAAAATTCGAAGGTGGTTTTACAAATTATCACTCCGTGGCTGTTGTAAAAGCTGGTACTTTACAAGATGTAACAAGCTTGAGAGATTTGCGTCAGAAAAAGGCTTGCTTTCCTTGGGTAGGCAGTTTGGCTGGATGGATAGTTCCTATATACACGGTAAAATTAATCATTAAAACATTTAGCTATTGTAATTAATTAAAA